CGAGGCTTCGTAACTTCGCATAACTTCGGATGTGTGTCGTAAGTTCCAACCAATAGATAACATTTACTTATTGCAATTTTGTGACAATGTACTTGTGCTAATCTTTTGATTGGAAAAAGGTTTTCCTAAGGTTGCTTGTAACTTCATCTTCTACAACTATTGTATAAAACTTTGTTCGAATTCTCATCTGCAACTAATTAAATGTTTCTTAGTGGGGAATCACCTAATCCAAACTACACATTAATTAAATTAATAAAGTTCGTCACAATATAATATTAAAATTTTACATGATTAAAAAGAAAAATATTGCTTCTGCGGTTGCAAGTTGCTGCCTCAGGGATTTGGGCAAACACTTTTGCAAGATACAGCTGCAAATTTTTATTTAATTGAAATTATATTTTGGGCATCGACCTAGTGGCCACCATAGAATGGATGTGGAACCAATTATTATTATTATTATAAGTAAATAAATAATGGGTAAATTAAAATGATCCAAATTCTATATGAGACAATGACTTGCCAAAATTTAGATATGTTCGTGTGTGCGTGTACGATAGTTATAAGTTGAACATTATATTGTAGATCGAAGAATTTATTTAAGGAGTTGAATAAGGTAAGTATTAATTACTAGCAAATGAAGAAGATTGTAAAAGATGGAGTATATAAAATCCACTAGTTAACATGTTGGTTAACTGTATTTTGAAACATGAAAAAAAACAAATATCGCTGGCTTAAGTATCAAATTATCTATCGAGCCATGAAAAAAAATCAACAAAAGATAGAAACAAATCCGCTATTTGTTTTACGTCAAACAATACATGGAGAAAGTCCTGATATAGCTGTAAAAGCAAGACGTGTAGGTGGATCTAGACCTGACCACGGTTCGATTCGGTTCCGGTTCCGATTCCGAACCGCCGGTTCCGGTTCCGATTTTGGAGGAACCGGAACCGAACCGAAAAATCCGGTTCCTTGCGGTTCGGTTCCGCGTTAGAACCGTAGAACCGTTCGGTTCTTAATAATAATTTCTTTATTATTATTATATATATATATATATATATATATATATATATATATATATATATATATATATATATATATATATATATAAAATAGAGAGAGAGAGAGAGAGAGAGAGAGAGGGAAATTAATATTTTTTTTAAAAAAAAAACCGGTTCAAACGGTTAAAATCGCGGTTCTAACCGTCGGTTTCCAGTTCAAAAAATGAGGAACCGGAACCGAACCTATTTTTCGGTTCCGGTTCCGGTCAAACCGGTTCCGGTTCGGTTCTAAAACCGTTACCCCGATTCGGTTCCGGTTCCGGTTTCGGTTCTAACCGAACCGGTGGTCAGGTCTAGGTGGATCGACTCATCAAGTTCCTATTGAAATATGATCCATACAAGGAAAAACACTTGACATTCATTGGTTATTAGCGGCATTTCGAAAACGTTCGGGTCGAAATATGGCTTTCAAATTAAGATCTGATTTAGTGGTTACTACCAAAGGGAGTGGTGATGCCATACACAAAAATGTAGAGACTCGTAAAATGGCAGCGGCAAATAGAGAAATATTATTCTATATGTTAATATTATAACTAGTCCATTAGAATTTAGAGCAGCTCAAGGGAGTCGCTGCTAGGGGTGTGAACGAGCCGAGCTCGTCTCTTTCGGCAGACGCGAGCCTGAGCTCGCGTCTATTTTGTTGAGCTTGAGCTCGTCGAGTTCCTTCTTTTTTGGCTCGAGCTCGAGCTCGTGTCCATTTCGTCGAGCTCGAGCCCAAGCTCATTTTGTTGTTTTTTTTATATATTTTTTAATTATTATTTTATTATTATTAAAAATGTTTTAAAAATTTCAAAATAAACAATAAATTATAATTATATATAAATATATTTTTTAATATTTATATTTTATTTTTATTTATTTATTTAATATTTTATATTACTATATATTATTTAAATAAAAAATAATAATAATAACAAATAGTAAATAAGGCCCGTGAGCTCACAAACAACTAAAACCTGTCGAGCTCGGCTCGTGAGAAAGCTCGAGCTCGAAAAACTAAACTCCAACTTTGAGCTTTTTTCGAGCCGACTCATCGAGTTGACAAGGCTCGACTCGTTTACCACCCCTAGTCGCTGCTCTAAAGAAATAAAAATACAATTCCTGCAATAAAAATATATTATAACAAAGTACAGTAAGTTTATTATTATTATCATTATTTTATTATTTTTTTTATGAGAATACAAATAAATAATTAAAAAATTCCTGGATTGGCATAGATGCTTCAGAATTTTCTCAAGATTGATACTGCATTTTCTCATGTGACATATAACAACATTGTCAAACTGATTCTGTTTATACCTTTATTTGGATATCTAACTTTATATTCATCCCAACTAAGATAAATTAGGCACACCACATCAGAATATTTTTCTTTAATATGATTCCAACTGATTCCAATTAGGAAAAGACATCACACTTCCAGTATATTCTATCCATTTCATTACAAATTTTATTTTCTTTTTTCATCTTTGCATAAGTATTAAGAATGTCATAAATATATCTTGATTGTAGAGAAGAAAAGGAAAACATTAAAAAGACTAAAATACCCCTGATCATTTAATAATGTGATAAGAGAGAATACTTAAAGTTGAATTAATAAGGTTAAAACAATAATGAATCCATTTAATGCAGTATTGAAAACTTAAAGTGACGGATAATATAGAACAAAAATATTTTGACAAAAAATACGGTTATTACGGAACAGATGGAGTAATTATTATCGTATGAGCCAATCCATATAAGTGCATTAACGGTCGTTACTCCGATAATAGATGCTAATTAGTAAAGAAATTAAGAAATTAAAAATAAAATAAAATAAATAAATAAAATCATGCATATTTGTTATCAGAAAAGCATATTATGTCACAGAAAAAGGAGAAAAGGGATAACATTCTATTTCCCTGTTGGATTTCTGCCAACCATTGCACATATCACATATTATAATCTTGATTTAAAATTAAAGCATAACACGAACTTAAAATAATAACTATGTTTCAACTTATAAGCTGCTGTCAAAAATCTATTACAGCTTCAGAAATCGAACTATGATTAATTTGTGGATAAATTATGAGGAAGCCCCGAATGATCAAATATCTTACACATCCTTGTTGTATCATTAATTACAAATACCCCTCAACTATTGTTCCGTCTAACAGTTGCACCCTTATAAAGTAATGACTAGCGGAATCTTGAAATTCCATGGAATATTCGATCCGAATTTCCAGATATACCCCTGGAGTAAATGTAAAATACCCACAGGGGGTAAATGTATCATTTTGTCTTACCTCATAGGGGTATTCGTAATTGTCTTAACGGTTATGTATAATTACCGATACCACATGAGCTCGTAAGTTACTTACTGTGACATAATTTTACCCTTAATTTGATGATAAAAGTTACAAATTCCCACTTGCCATTACCAGAAGACGAAAGGACACCCAATATTTATTTGTTGGCAAAAAAAACATATGAAAGTGGAAGCATGAAAAATTGTTTGATTTGAGGTACACAACATAATACTATTGAGTCCATTTTGCCTGCGTGAAAAGACAAGAATGCCCTCACCCTATCCAAAACTATGAGCCAACACAATCTTGTAAGAAAAAACCCCTTTTGTTTCAAATTACAGTTGGAGCCCATCAAACACAATAGTTCAAGTATAGCTGAATTATTACATCTTTGTCTTTTACCAAATTTTTACCAGATTTGTAGCACATAATATATATATATATATATATATATATATATATATATATATATATATATATATATATATATATGTGTGTGTGTGTGTGTGTGTGTAAAAGTCAACTAATGTAATTAGTTTTTTTTTTTTTTTTTTTATCAGTGTTAAAAAGAGTTCAGATACAGTGTACCTCACACAAAATTCCAAGAATATTTACTTTACAATTTGCCTAGTTCGGATGAAAACATAGCCTTCTTTTTCCTCCCACTTTGAATACATCATCTTAATGCAGTAATTAAATTGTAATAAAAATTAAAAATTAATAGCCTAATTAGTTTAGGTATTTGATGTAAAGAAGAATATAGACCATAAGAATTTAATATGGGACCCCTTTTATCCCAAATCTAAGTGCACATCGAGTCATCGAATTATTTATTTAATTTTACATCTAATTATTATTTATTATTAATAAATAATGTTTACCTTTACAATTGACCTAGATTTCGTCATCAATCACAAATACCTGATTGGCCACAACAGTTTAACAAATATTCTTGAAATTTCTATCCTTAAAAAAAAAAAAAAAAAAAAAAAGACCTTCCAAAATTGACTTAAAGAGTTGTAACTATTTGCTCATTTTTTAAGCATTACATAATGAGAGTATACATCTATCCAAAGACAATTTAGATTAAATAAATGCTAACAACATAATACACAGCTACGGCACATCTAGAAACTCAATCTCAAATTTAAGGCATGAATATAAGGGTAAATTGCGGAAAACCCCCTGAACTTAGGCCAAATTACGAAAAACATCCCCACCTGGACATAATTAATAAAATTTCCCCCGATGTTTGTTTCCGTCTTACACCGACCCCCTTACAGTGTGATTTTTCCACGGAATCTTTTCGAGTCCAGGGAATATTTTCTGAAAAATGTCAATTATACCTCCCTGCAGACATGAAATTTCTTTTATGCTACTTTTTAAAGGTAAAAATTACTCTCAAAAGGGTAATGATAATACTAAAAAGTTGTGAATTAGTCATTTATAAGAAGAAAAAAGATTCCGTTTAAAGCGCCCTCAGAGGGTAATTTTTATCAATCAAAAGTAGCACAAAGGAATCACTTCTGCAAGGTTAGAATCGACATTTTTCGGGGGAATATTCCCTGTAATAAAAAAAAATCGTGAAACATCACGTCGTAAGGAGCTGGTGTAATATTGGAACAAAAGTCTGGGAAATTTTTGATAATTATCAATCTATTGGGGTGTTTTTCGTAATGTAGCCTAACTTCAGGATTATTTTTTCTGGGTAATCTACCCTAAATATTTAACAGAGTGGCACCAATCATTACATACTCTGCATACATCATCCATTTTATCTGTTTCTTTTTTTCTTTTTCATTTTTTTTTCTTTTTTCTTTTTTCTTTTCTTCTCTAAATGGATGTCACAAAGAACTGCTTATGTAAGCAAACCCCCCTGAAACTGTTTACTCATGGCCCATATTTCATAAACACCCCTTTTCTCCTATAAATACCCTTTCTCTTCATGCATTGTCACCTTACCATCAACAAACAAAAAAAAAATAATAATAATAATAATAATAATAAATAAAAATCAAGTCTTTAACCAAATGATGCAATCAGAAATCCAAGAAATGCACTACTTTGCTCCTCAAAACCCCTCACCCTATCAACCCAACTTCAACTTGATCCAAAACACCTCACCATCAATGCAGTACAATCGGTTCGTACCAGCCAATTTACCGAATTACCCTCCGATTTCACTTCTCAACGAATTATGTCCCAACTCTAATTCGACGTCCGATGAAGCAGAGGACAATCAGGTTGGTTTAGTTGACGAGAGGAAGCAGAGGAGAATGATATCGAATAGGGAATCTGCGCGGAGATCGAGGATGCGCAAGCAGAGGCACCTGGACGAGCTGTGGGGCCAGGTTCTTCGTCTGAGGAACGAGAATCAAAATCTCGTTGAAAAGCTGAGCCATGTCTCGGAGAGCCACGGCAGAGTTGTCGAGGAGAATGCGAGGCTCAAGGAGGAAGCTTCCGATCTCCGACAAATGCTGATGGATGCACAGATTAGCAATTCATACGCCGTCTTGAGAGATTTCGAAGATCTTGAATCTTCGGAACAGTCCGTCGTTACTTCCAAGAACCTGTTCGATTGAGCAAGTTGAACGAACGAGCTTCCTTTTTTTTTTTTTAACTAACTCGGAGTTGTCGAATTGCTTTCGTTTGTATCGCTACTTCCTTTCTTTTTTTGTTTAAGGGTTGATGCTAATGATGAAATGCTTTTTATCCTTGATCAAGCGGTGCGCAACAAAAAAAAAACAAAAAAAAATCGAAAACGCTATATCTTGAAACCGATAACCCCACGAGCACAAAATCGCCCACTAGTAGTCACTCGGGAAGTAGGTCGGGATTAGAGAAAAACCAACAAAGCTTAATGCTTTCCGAATAAAAATCTTCTTGAAAAACCGAAAAAAAAAAAGAAAAAAAAGATGGAGAGTGTATACAGTGAGTTGGGCTCCATAAATCACATAGCTACAACAACAACCAGAAGAACAGAAGCAGAGTGGTGGTGGGACAAGAATTGTATTGGTGGAGATAGTGCCTTTTAATTCAACACCTACCATAACAAGCAAAACATCCCTAAAGGAAATCCACTACTTCTATTTTTTTTTTTTTTTTTTAACGAGCTCAGGACCACGGGGAATTAGATGTTACACCTGATTATTTACACCAGGTAGATTTGAACTGTAAATTTGATTAAATTACTACTCACTATAAACATATATGCATGGGTGTGTGTGATTATGTTTATATTTATAGTTTAAATTATCTACCTAGTGTAAATAACCAGGTGTAGCGGTTAATTTTCCGGGACCACGTGTGCAATTGGATTTTATTCAATCCCACTCATTATTACTTGCCAATTCAAAACCAAACTATGATTCAGGTGTGTTTCCAGAATGTACTATTTCTGAGTGTGAATTTCCATAATGAACAAGAAGACTTTTTTTTTTCTCCGCCGGCTCAAATTGGTTGATACCCAATCCAGTGTTTGGATACTGGATAAAATTTTAGCCTTTGGGAAATGATAGTGGATGGATTCTGAGAGATTGGATTGGATACTGGATAAAAGAAAAAAAGAAAACGTTTTTACTGGTTCGAGTCTCGACGAAGCCCTAATTTGGATGGTTTTTGTACGAACTGCTTCGATTTGGCTGAAAGTACAGTCGTAAGAGTAGAGAGGTGCGGCGGAAATGAGTTCGTTGCCGTCAGATTTCTGTGGCTGAAATACTGAGCCGACCTTCTGATCGGTGGCGGTGGTTATGAAGACGGAGTAAGAAAACCGAACGGTAGCACCAGCGGCGCGGCCGGCAGGCGGTGGTGGTGGGCGGGTGGGTGAACAAGATATGAAACAGGGGAAAAGAGAGGAATTTTTTTTTTTTTTTAAAAGGAAAACAGTAGTATAACTGTATAAGAATATAACAATAAAATTATAATATATTATTGTTAACAACATAAGGAAATATATATATCATCTTAGAGCATCTCCGACCGGTTTCACCATTTTTTCACCAAATCCCATTTATGGTGGTGAAAAAATGGGTTCATCTCCTACCGGTAGCACACCATTTTACTCTTCCACCATTTTTAGAGGAAAAATGGTGGTTTTGGTCTCCAATGGGTATCACCAAAATTTAGACCAAATATTAAAATAATAATATTTCACTATTTCACCACTTATAGGAAATGTAATTTGGTTTGGTCTCCAATGGCATTTCACCATATATACTCCAAAACTATAAATCTAATGTTAATCGTAATTTTATAATATTTTATTTCCTAAATATTAATTATAGATCCAATGTTAAGTAATAAATTTTTTAACTATATAATTTAAAAATTATGTTATCAATTTTAAAAAGTTGTCTAAACATGAAATAACATGAACTCAAATTATTTTAAATATAATAAAATCATATATAAACAATAATCTCATAAATTATTGCATAAATCATATATTAAGTACGACATGAGAATTTAAATAAGCAGTTCATGATGATTTAAATTTATATAATTTATGTTATTGTTTATCATATTCTGTTATCATGTTATGTTGTTTGTTATTTTATGAGCTATGTATTTCAATTTAAATGTCTCGTCCTGTATTTCATCAATTGAAGTGTGTTTCGTTAATTATTCTATTGTTGCTTATTATATTTTATTAATAGCAATTAGCTATTAGTTAAGTAAAGAAATGAACTAATAAACATTGATACCAACAAAATAAACAAATTAATTAAAAATAAGCATATTTATATTTTTAGAATTAATGTTTTGTTAATAATAACAAATGTATTTATATTTTAAAAACTAATTTAATAATTAATACCAATGTACTTACGATAAATATGCTAATAAGTTGGTAATCGGGTGCAATTAGTTAAAATAGTCATTTTATATGGTACTTAATAAAATGGTGTTAATTACGCCAAATCCTATTTTCACCTCTATATTTGGTAGGAAAAATAGGATTTGGTGGAAAAAATAGAAAAATTGTGGACCGGTGGGAGATGAAAATTCCTTCACCAAAAAATTTGGTGGAAAAATAGGATTTGAGTATTTGGTGATATGGGGGTTGACCACGGTGGGAGGCTAAAACCAAATCTCTATAATTTTAGGTGTAATGGTGATATAGGAATTTTGGGTGGGAGGCTAAAAACACCTAAATTAGATGAAAAAATGGTGTTATGGTGTCCGGTCGGAGATGCTCTTAGGGCATCCCAATGGAGGCTCCATACTCCATTGGGCTCTAAATTACAGAACTTCTACAAAAAAAGGCAACACCAACAAGGGTTCTAGTGGGTATGCAAATTTAGAGACTTACACAAAATTCATAAATGTTTTCCTAAATATGTGATTTCATTTGGAGACTCTCTATTTGTTGGGTCCCACGACTTTTTATTTCTTTTTCTTTTTTCCTTCTTAGTTTTTAAGGTGTGCTTATTTTATATTTATATAGTTCGAAAAAGATTGTATTTTTTATTTTTCATTATATTTGAACATATATCTGTGTTAATATTTTGTCATTTCATTTGTTAGAATTATTTTTCTATAGCAATGTAGATAAAAAATTAATGGCAGGGATCAATTTGTGTATATATTTTTTTTTCATTATATTTGGACATATATCATATCTTTTCAAAAAAAAATATTTCTTTGATCAAAATGTGTATTAAAAGTAATTATGACCGATGAAATATAAATTAATTATCTAAAATCTCACATATGAATAAAATTTAAACCTTAATCACATTATTATATAAAAAAAAAATCGTAAAATAAATTTAGAGACTCAAAATTATAGAACCCTCCATTGTGGAACTTTTTTTTTTTAGAGACTCGAAAATTTTACCGGGTCTCCATATGGGTCTCCAAAACAAAATTTGGAGACCCGATTTGCTTACTCCATTGGAGATGCCCTTAGAGGCCCAAAATCATCATTTTCTGTCAAATATAAGTCGTCCAAAATCATTAACTATTTTAATTTGTTCAAGCATACAGGTGGAAACTCCACCTAGAACAAAATTTCCGATTTCTGTCGATTCTGATAAATTTTGAATTGGACAATAGTTTTCAATTTGAAATTATTTTGATCGAAATTGGAATATATATGAGATGCCGGTTTCCAATCCGATTAATATTCTGAAAATAATTTCACGATTTTTTTTATGAATATTACTATTGAAATCACAATATTATTATGTATTTTATATTGAGTAAATTACAACCACCCCTAAGGTATGGTCAAATTACGAAAACCCCCTCTTGTTTGGGTAATTACAACCACCCCGCTCAACTATAAAACTTCTTATAAGTCCACCCTTGTGACTTCAAATTTAGTGGAATCTTCGAGATTATATGGAATATTATCACTTTTGTACCCGTTTTATGTCATTCGAACTCCACATTTTGAAAGATGATCATAATATGTGTTTTTTGGCTTGTATATATTAGATTATGGTGCCTCAGAAACTCTATTTTTACACAAAAGGAATGCAAACTAGATTACATTCCACAAAATGTAAATGATTATGTTGAATTTGACACCATAAGGGTGGAGGTGTAAGAAAAAAAGATAGTTGAGAGGGGTAGATGTAATTATCCAAACAAGAGGGATTTTTTCGTAAATTAACCATACCTCAGGGATGGTTGTAATTTACCCATTTTATATTTAACATGAGCAAAAATTAAAAAAATCCGAATTCCGCCGATTTCGATCCTAAATTTTCCGATTTTGGAACAAGTTTTTTCGTTCCAATTTCCGATTATTTTTTGAACGGAACTGGAACTAGTTTTCCAGCTCATAAAAAATCGGATTTTTTCTGAATGAACTAATTCCGATCCCATCAGTCCGATTTACACCCATATTCAATCAAACATGGTAATTACAGTAATATTATTTTTGAAATAAATTACAACAATATTAATTTGATCACCTTTTAATTAGATTTCTGAACAAGGCCAAAAGCCCAAGAAGATAATTCTCTTGTCTTGCTCAAGTGTCTCTTATCCTTCCAAGAAACTGTAGAACACCCTTTTTAAGGCTCAAACCGTTTCTAGAATTTCAATTAATTAAATAAATAAATACAAACTGTTTAATTCTGTCTGTCTGAAATAATGGGATGTTCTTTCAAACCATTACCTGCAAATGCATTTTCCAACCAATCACTGCCCACTACATTTAACAAGAAACCTTCTAATTCCATGTTGAATGCAAAACCTGTTGCCAAAGAACTCTATTTCAACCATGATGGTTCTACCACCATTAAACTTCTGGTAATAAATCTTCCTTTTTTTCCCCTTTTCACCATTTTTATGGAAGTTTGTGAATAAAAATCCAATCTTTAACTGATTTTTGGCATTTTATTTTATTTATTTTTAATTCCCTTTTTCGCCATTTTAATGGAAGTTACTGAATAAAAATCCAATCTTTAACTGATTTTGGCATTTTATTTTATTTATTTTTTATTCCTTTTTTCATCATTTTAATGGAAGTTTCTGAATAAAAATCCAATCTTTAACTGATTTTGGCATTTTATTATTTTTATTTTTAATTCCTTTTTTCACCATTTTAATGGAAGTTTCTGAATAAAAATCCAATCTTTAACTAGATTTTGGCATTTTATTTTATTTATTTTTAATTCGTTTTTTCACAATTTTAATGGAAGTTTCTGAATAAAAATCCAATCTTTAACTGAATTTTGGCATTTTTTTTTTTAATTCCTTCTTTCACCATTTTAATGGAAGTTTCTGAATAAAAATCCAATCTTTAACTGATTTTGGCATTTTATTTTATTTACTTTTAATTCCCTTTTTCACCATTTTAATGTAAGTTTCTATAAAAAGCCAATCTTTAACTGATTTTGGCATTTTATTTTATTTATTTTTAATTCCCTTTTTCACCATTTTAATGGAAGTTTCTATATAAAAACCCAATCTTTAACTGATTTTGGCATTTTATTTTAATTTTTTTAAATTCAGGCAGGAGTGAACAAGGTGGCAGACCTAATTGGGGTGACAATGGGTCCAAAGGGAAGAAATGTGGTCTTGCAGAACAAATATGGACCTCCCAAAATAGTCAACGATGGCGAAACTGTTCTCAAACAGGTTCTACCGTTTTCTTTTATTTTATTTATTTATTTATTTAATTTTTTTTAAGTGTTGATTAGTAGGCAATTTGAAATTGATGAAAGTTCTGGTGACATTATAAAACCAACTTGTTTGTAATGTATTTCGATATCGAATGATAAATAGGACGAAAAAATAATCTGATAAGTGATTAAGCCCTGCAAATTTTAAGATTCGAATTTATCGAGTTTGTTATGATTACTAGTAAAGATTGAGCTGGATGACCCGTTGGAGAATGTTGGAGTGAAATTGGTTAGGCAAGCTGGTGCTAAAACAAATGATCTTGCTGGCGACGGTTGCACCACGTCTATAGTTCTTGCCCGTGGCCTTATCACCGAGGGTGTAAAGGTCATTTCAGCTGGTTTGAACCCGATTCAGGTCTCGCGAGGGATTGATAAAACCGCTGCAGCTCTTGTTTCTGAGCTCAAACTCATGTCCAGAGAGGTATTGTATTATATACACATTCGTTTGTTCTTCGTTTTTTCGTCGTTCTTGAAAAAAAAATAAGAAGAAAAATATATGATCAGGTTGAGGACCATGAGCTGGCGGATGTTGCTGCGGTTAGCGCTGGAAACGATTATATTATCGGAAATATGATTTCCGAAGCTATCCGACAAGTGGGGAGGAGGGGTTTTGTCACGATCGAGAAAGGGAATTACGCCGAAAGTAATCTTGAAATAGTCAAAGGAATGAAGTTCGATCGAGGGTTCTTGTCTCAGTATTTCGTCACCGATCGAAAGAAGATGATAGTTGAGTTTCATGACTGCAAAGTACGGAGCTTTCTTTCTTGGTTTTCGTTTTCGTTTTCCTACGGTTTTTCTTGTTTTCATGAATTCTGTGAACATAATCTTCGATCGTCCGAATTTGCAGTTATTACTAGTGGACAAGAAAATCACGGATCCGAGGGATTTTCTGAAGATATTGGACAACGCGGTGAAAGAACAGTACCCGGTAGTTATAATAGCCGAAGGGATCGAAGAAGAAGCACTCGCTCCGGTAATTAGGAACAAACTCAGAGGAGTGCTTAAAGCAGCCGCCGTTAAAGCACCCTCGTTCGGCGAACGCAAGAGCCACTATTTGGACGATATTGCTGTCTTGACCGGAGGTACTAAATTAAATTAAATTTAAGGTTCTTACGTATGTGTAAGAAAAAAAATATATATGATTTTCGTACTTTTTTCATGCGGGTGTTTTTTTATTTGCTTATCGTAGGAACTGTGATCAGGGAAGAAATGGGGTACACTCTCGAAAATGCACACAAAGATATGTTGGGGTCCGCTTCGAAAGTCGTGATAACTAAAGATTCAACGTTGATTGTGACGGATGGAAGCAATGACGAGGCTGTTAAGGAGAGAGTTTCTCAGATTCAAGGGCTTGTTGAGGTATTCTTGAAAATAAAAAAATAAAAAAATAAAATTTGACAAGAAAAAAAAAGAAAGAAAACGGAAAACGACTAAAACAAAGCATTTTTGACTGCTACAGTAAAATATGTCTTCACTAAAAAAACAGATAAACATCACTTCATCTTTCAATTTTTTTCTTCTAAAATACTTTTTTCTAACACCTATAAACATGATTTGACTCCTACAGTGTATTTTGTCTCCTTCCAAAACATAAACAAACATTACTTTCATTCTCAAATTCTTCCCCCAAAACATATTTCCTCAAAATGAAATCAAAATAAGTTTCAAAACGCTTCCAAACATTGCCTAAGCTTTTATATATCCTTTTACAGAATACAGAAGAAAAATTTCAAAAGAATATATTGAACGAAAGAGTAGCCAGGTTATTGGGCGGTGTAGCGATTCTTCAGGTAATATTGAATGTAAGAATATTGACTAATAATTAATAACTTATTCAGTGCAATATATTTAACCAATCGTTTTTCGACAGGTGGGAGCGCAAACAGTTGTCGAGTTAAAGGATAAACAATTAAAAGTAGAAGATGCACTAAATGCTACAAAGGTATAGCTCGTTTTCTTGATCACCGCTTGTAGAGTTAAAGTACCATTTTATTTATTTATTTATTTATTTTTAATAACAGGCGGCAATCGAAGAAGGAGTAGTAGTTGGTGGGGGGTGTTGCCTACTACGGCTTTCGACGAAGATTGCTAGTATCAGAGAAAATTTGGACAATGAAGAACAAAAAGTACGTACTCCCTCTTATCGTATATTGTGTTGGTAAGTAGTCGATCGATATTGCGGTGTGATGATAAGTGCTTCTGCAGATCGGAGCCGACATTTTGAAACGAGCTTTGTCTTATCCTGCAAGACAGATTGCAAAGAATGCCGGTGTCAATGGGAGCACTGTTATTCAGAAGGTCTCATCATATCTGTGCATTATTTTATTTTTCTATTTTTTTTCAATTATTTCAGGATTAAAAAAAAACGTAATTTCGTTACATGCAGATTCTATTATCGGACGACGTAAACTATGGGTATAATGCTGCAAAAGACATATACGAGGATTTAATGGCTGCTGGAATAATCGACCCTACAAAGGTAATATCAGAAAAGAAGAAAAGAAAAACATGTTTATTGTGTTAGAAGAAAGTTCATGGCGACGATTTTTGTTTATTTTATTTTATTTATATTTAAAATGAAAACAGGTTGTGAGATGTTGTTTGGAGCATGCAGCGTCGGTAGCGAAGACGTTTTTGACAGCCGATGCAGTTGTTGTCGAAATTAAGGAACCGGTTAAAGCGAGACCGAATTTGATGGGAGAGAGAAAACCAATGCCAACCTCTGGTAATTAATTAATTAATTCATCTTGATATTCAATTGCAAATATATAATATTAGAATAAAATTATATTTCAATCCGACTATATATATACAGGTATCGGACCACCACGTGGCCTACTATAGTCGATGAACGAACGGATAAATCTATCGTACGTAATCCCACGAAACGGCTTAATTCACTCTCTCATGCAAAAGGAGGGCAAGAAACACAAAAGAGAACTTATCAGCATTTTTGCAGCATAGTGTAATTTAGACTGCTTAAATATATATGTGTATGAATCATATAATACATGTAATTTCGAGCAATCTTTTTAGTGTGTTACCTTAATAAAATAAGTAAATGAGGAAGCTGTTAGATTGCTTGTCATTTATGAAGCATGAAGAAGTGCAATAAGCATCAACTTGCAATGAATCATGGGATGCACATACCAAGGAGACTGAAAATGACATATATACCCCTAAGATAGGGTTTTTGTAGCTTCCCTAGTAAAGAGCATATGTCAAATAATTAGGGGTCGAAATTGGAATAAAATTTTGGATTTTCCCTATTTTGAACAATGTTTTTCATTATGATTTTTTACTTTTCTTTTTCTTGTATCGGAATAGAAATATATGTGTGTGTGTGTGTGTGTGAGAGAGAGAGAGAGAGTTTTCCATAATCGATTCGATATATAACTTGAGAACGATAATGTCGATTTTTTTTCCTCATATTTCTTCTTGATTCATCTTCTGCTCTTTCGTGTTGTCAATTTTCTCTCGCAGAAATAAACAACGTTTAACTTACAGTGATTTCAAAATAGACCGAAGAAATAACGTTGCTGTCCGAAAATATTTGTAGAAAAACATGCTAAAAGTTTGCCGGAACACGTTTTTTGAAAAATGTTTTTGGAAAATATTTATGTATTGAAAACGATTTTGTTAAAAGATGTCTTTATGTATAGTAACGCTTTTCTTAAGTGGAAATGAAATATAACTGTAATTTTGATATAAAGTGCGTGACATTTCTGATATTTCAGACGGGTAGGAAGTTCTTGACTACGCGAAACTTAGAAGTAGGTATTGCATTGTACAAAATATAATCGGGTAAATTCCAATTCTCCTCCTTGTACTTTGGTTCGATATCACTTTACCTATTTCTATTATCGATTGCATCGATTTGCCACCCCTGCACTTGAAAAATTGTCTCAATGTAGTCATTGACGTTAGTTTTCAGACCTTTGACTTTAACATATTTTTATCTAAAGTCTGAAAATTACAAAAAACCCAATCCTCCCAATTTAAATAATTATAAAAAAAAATAAAAAAAATAAAAATAAATTATAGTTGCCGTTGTGGACTATGCTTTCTCGTTGCCTTGAATTTATTTATTATTATATTTTATTTAATAATAGTGAATTAATTTTTTATTTTTTATCGAAATAGAATTAATAATAATAATCGGGCACGGCTTTTGGTTGGACCGCCGCAGATATGCGCAGCGTGTGTCAGCTGCCTGAATATGTGTCAACCTTCCCAAGACGATGATGCATCTCTATTTTCTGTATATATACACACACACACACATACATACATACACGATTATGCAAAATTACCGTCCAATTAGGGTTTTAGGTCAAACGAATAAATCTGAATAAAATTAGGAAAAACCAGAGATGGCGATGATTATGATGGGGTTGAGCGTGCAGTGCGTGTTGGACTTCATGGTGGCGGGTTTCTCGCTAATGGTCGGGCTCGGAATATTCGCTTTCATCGCTTCAATCCTCTGCTCTGCTGCTTTCTTCCAGAACGCCAAGGAGGTGCCTTGAATTTTGATTCATTTTCCTGTGAGTATTATTATTAATTATTTTATTTTTTTTATTTTAATTTTTTGTTTTATTGGTTTTCGGAGGATCTGAATTGAAAGGGGGGCGAATCCGATAAATTCATCTCGATTTTGGTCTGTGAAAATGCTGATTGATTGTATTATGCAGCATAGATGCTTCAATTGGGGGTTTTGTTTATCTGAGTATCTAATTTGAAAAAGATGAAACTTTTGTGGCTGTAAAAATTTGGATCAAAAAGTAAAAATACGGCGTAGATACGTATGTTTGGGTGAATCGAATGAGTAAATGATTGAATTATACTTTCTTTGATGTGCCTTGGCCTTCGTCGTTACAAATTTCTCGTTTTCGACCATCTTTGAAGCTTGTTTTAATGTTTGAACCTGATAAATTGTTGAATTGGACAAACAGTTGTATTAGATGTTTGTATGTCGTTTCCGTTTGTGCTTTGTAGTTTTGCTTAATAACATCGCGGGATATGGATTGCAATACCTGAATAAACACGCGTATTATAGTACTTGTAGCTTTCCTTCAAAATATTTGTAGCACTATTGCATATTTGTTAAAAGGCGAATAGTGTAGTATATAATAGTTACACTTGTTCAAGTAGTCGTGGTCTGTACATTACTCTCGTAAGTCGTGTAAGCATACGTGCTTTGCCTATAGTATCATTAGCAATCGTAAAAGCTGTGTCAGTATTCAACCCAACGAACATAATCACTCTATTATCTGTAACTATTTCTCGTTATTTATCAAAATATTTTATGATGTTCGGGCAAAGGCCTTTCCAGTACTCGAAGCTAATGATTCCTTGCTGGTTTTCTGCAGGCGAAAATGCTGTCCTGGCTAATATTACCGTACGTGTTTGGTCTTCGAAAATGGTTATCGTTTTCAGAATTCCAAACACTAAAATCGTCTGAGTAGGATAATAAGTGGTGTACTTCATTTTGTTGTTGTTTTGAGATTGTTGACTGTGACATCTTACCCCTTTTCTTTTACTACAAATACATAGGAATATCGACTTTCTTGAATTCGGATTTAAGTTGAGTATATGCTTAAGTCGATAATTCTCGACATTAGTGAGGATATATGAATTCGAAAAACTTATTTCGAAATAGAATACCAAGTGTAATCGGGTAGTAAAGATGGAAGCAACACAATTATTGTCGACTTTTTCGGGTAAATTCGTTATTCGTACTATATTTAGTGAAATTCACTACGTAAGGTTCGTTTGAGTTCGTCGGTTCTATAAAGCAGAATCGAGTTTGAACACATATATCAGTTATAATTCGTATATGTATTAAATAAATAAATAAAACCTGATAAATTATTGATTTGGTTCGTTTGAATTTGTAATTAAATCAAACAATAATAATACAATTAAATAAAAAATATAATAATTATTTTTTCTTTTTCTGCTTCCTGGAGTAAACCATGCCTCTAATACCATCCGGGTCCGAAACAAAACCCAACGGCCTATAAAAGCCCAGAACCCGGGGCTCCGAATACAAAGCGATATTATTAATCCCTTTCTCTAACAGCTGGGTGACCAATCGTTCCATCACAGCCTTCCCGAGGCCAATCCCCTGGTAATTGGGGTCCACCACCACATCCCATATTATCGCGTTGAACACGCCGTCGCCCGTCGCCCTAGCAAACGCCACCGGCCGGCTCGTTTTCGAGGACTCCACCCACAGCAGCGCGTCTGTGTGCTCCAGAGCTATTCGGATCTTTTCCGGGTCGCGCCGGGGGAACCCGACCGCTGCGAAGACGGAGTTCAGGTGGTCGAGGTTTAGGTTCTCGACGGTGCGGTGGAAGGTGAAGCCGCGTGAGGAGAGGGACTCTTCGGAGATTGAGAAGCTGGCCGCGGCGGAGACGGCGGCGCTGCGGCGGTGGGTGGGCTTTTTCAGGGGTAGTGGAGTGACTGGGATCGGATTATGAAGCAGCATTTTGTTTGTTTTGTTTATTTAATTTTTGAAAAATTTGTTATTTATGTATATGTATAAATTGAATTCAGATGGATAAATAGTGGATATTATTCAGATTTGTAACTTGTGGTTTTCCAAGTAGCCATGTTTCTCTCTTTTTCTTTTTCTTTTTCTGTATGTGTACAGTAATTTAGTGCTAATTCGTATTTAAAATAGGGCAAATTGCAAATAACACCATGTAAATTTCTAATTTTCGCACTTTAACCCTCAAAATTTTTAAAAGTGAATGTCCCCTCAAAATGTTATTTTTGTTTCACATTGTAGCGGTAGCAAAATTCCGACAGACTATTCGTCGCAATTGAGCATTTTCGTTGCTCGTTGCCCATATAAGTATCAGTTTTGTTGCACTTTACCCGGTTAAAAACACTATTTTTTTACACAATTGCCACTTGAAAATATTATTTTGTTCGCACAATGCTCTTAAAAAAATTGGCTTATGGAGCAAAGTGCAACCAAAATAATATATCAAATTCATTTTTTGAATTTTTAAGGGGCTCTTAGATTATTTTTACTAGTAATTCTGTAAACAATATAATTTAATAAAATACTAGTATTAAATTATTAATCGTTAGTTTTTGCATATGGTTCAGATGCAATTTAATTCGAAGTTATTCTCTCTAGTGAATCACTGTTTCCGGGTTCACCAAATGGGCCCTGGGTCGAGTTGGGCTCATAAGCCCATTGATTCTCTTTTGTTAGAGAATCATTTTCAAGACGGGATAGTAAACGAGCTCAGCTGCCTCAACAAAAACTCGAACTCGAATTTGAGCGTTTTTAAGTTGTTCGTGAAACTCACGAGCAGGCTCGTCAATCTTCCTTTTATTTCTTTTCTTTTACTATTTTTTATCTAAATAATATAATATATTATAATAATAATAATATAGAAATATATATAATCACTGTTCATTATTTATTTTATGATTTTTTTTATAATATCAATATCTTTTTCACAACACACATATATATATATATATATATATATATATATATATATTATATATATATATATATATATATATATATATATATATATATATATATATATATATATATGGTGGAACTGGAACAGTAGTAGGTAGGTAGTTACCTTTTATTCCATCTTCGACCAGCACTGTAAATATCTGGCGGCGGCGGCTTACGATCTTCCGACGATGCTGCATCATCACCATCATCATCATCATCATCATCAATCCGTTTATTATTACCATGCTGTAATTTCATCTTCTTCTTCTTCTTCTTCTCACCACCGCCATCATGTAATTTCTTCGTCTGAACCTTCTTCTTACTACTCTCGTGCAACTTCCTTTCATTCTTGTTCAAAACCTGCCCTAAACCATGATAATCACTTGGTCGGCAGCGGCCAGACGAAGCATCTGACGTCATCGAGTCGTCACTTTCCACGTCATCACCTCCTCCTTTCTTCCCGGCGCCGCCTTCATCGTAGTAGTACTCGCTGCTGCTGCTGCTGCTGCACTGTGTTTCCGGCGAAGAAGCTATGTACATAGTCCACCCTGACTCGCTGCTGCTACAACCCGAATCCATTAATTACTTTTTTATTTTTGTTTTTATTTTTCAGTATATGTATAAAAAAGGAAAAATATTTTTAGTGTGTGTCTATATATAAATTGATGATATAAGTAAGCGTTGAGGTAGAGAAATGAATATTAGCTAGCTCGTATTTATTATTTTTGCTGCTGTCAGGTTTAATAAATATATATGATAAAGCTGTAATTGAAAATTAAATGGCAGATGAAAAAAGGGGGGAGGGGGGCCCCACAGAAGAAATGTGAAAGAATGTGGTAAGTTGAATTGAGATTGTATATATAGAGCTGCAATTCAGGTATTATTATTAATTTATTACAAACTTCTTTTAATTACTACTGTCTACATATATAGCTTTAAATTCTCTCTGTCTTGTCACCAGTCCTTTCATGTGAATTCTTGCAACTCTTCTTTTTTGTTTTCTTCCTCTTTTTTTTTCTCCTCATTAACTACTTAATCATAATGTCATTACCCATCTTTTATATATATATATATATATATATATATATATATATATATATATATCATTTGAATCTTATAAATAAGTGGAATATTCTTCAATTTGTACCTGTTTTACTTCATTCAAGCTCCATATTTTAAAATCAGATGATCATCAAATGTGTCTCTGGCTTGTAAAAATCAGGTTGTGGTGCATCAGTATACTGCATTTTTTGCACAAAATGAGTACAAATTAAAGAAAATAATCCCACATAATCTAGAAGATTATATTTGGGTGCATGATTGTAATTACCCAAACATAAAAGATTTTATCGTAATTTAATATAAAATAAAGTTGTAAGAAAAAATTTACCTACTACATAAAAATAATTTACAATACTCCATATGTTCATTAGTAAGTCTCATGTTTACATTTACACAGGTATAAAGAATATCAATAAATACAACTTGAATTTACGAAAAAATACATAAAAAAAAAACACTAAAATAACCTTTATTATTTACTTAAAATTGAACTAATAAGGGTAAAATAGGAAGAAAAAAAAACATGCAGTATTGGAACTCTAAAGTGAAAGATAATATGGAATAAAAATGTTGCTATAACGTGACGATTATTGTAAAAATGGAGGGAGTAGTAATAATATAACAAAACAAAAACAAAAACAAATACTGCATCATGATCGATCGAGTAGTCTATGATGAACGAACGAACGTGCGGCTCCGCAATAATTTGTTGGAAGTTAGCCTGTTAGCAAAGAGGGATTGTTTAAAAAAATTCCATTGTTGATAGAAAATGTTGCCTCAAAAAGGAATAGATGTGTTTTATGATTTTATATCTTGCCTTGTTGTTATTCAGCCATATGGTTCCCTACATGCAAGCTTCTATAAAGTTCAGTCTTAATCCAGGCCTTTGGATTATTATCATGTGTTTGGATTATGGGACAAGAGTACCCCTCCTCTCTGCATACATTGTTGCCTGATAATGTAATTGTTATTGAATTGTCTTATCATTTCATTTTCTGACTAAGTAATTGGGCTCCATCTTGAAAGACAGTTCTTGGATTTATTTTACCTTGTTGAATCAATGGGACAAACATTCCCTTAGCTGTGGGGATTCGATTTTGGAAACACATTTTGTTGCCTTGCTTATATACTTATGTTGTTTTCTGGTCGTTTTTCGAACACGTTCACGTGCAACTGTGCTACGTACGTACCCCTTCGTGTGATATATATATAATGTCGGAGAAAAAACAATTTAATTTGAATTATGAGTAGTTTTAAATTGATATTCCATCTTTATTATTATTATTATTATTATTATTATTATTATTATTATTATTATTATTATTATTATTATTATTATTATTATTATTATTATTATATAGTTTGAAAATATCTTTTATTTTTCTTCTACGGTTCTTTAATATCTCCCATTTCACAAATATCATGTTTTTAATTTATACAAGTAAATGTGAAAAAACCCAATTACAATTTCCTCTGCATAAATAAATTGTATCGTAAATTTCGTTTCAATTTTATTGATATCGTTCCCACTCCAAACATTTTTCTGTACGAATTTATCAAATGTCAGAACACAAAATTGTAGTCCTTTGGAGTTGGTTTTTTCAATCCAACTTGAATCAGTTAGATTAGATGGCGGATGAGAGCAATATGCATGTGAATAATCATTGGCTACAACTTTAATATATTTCTGTTTTTTTAAGTTTGGGTGGTAACCCACCCCTCCCTCAAACTTAAAGTGGGTGATAGACCAACTTGAGGTTGTTAACTAGTCACGATGACCTCCCGTATGGTGAGGCTTGGTGAAAATATCCACAAATTGATCATTTGAAGAAACTTAGAGTTTTAGAGCACCTTAAATAATTTAAGAACATATAAAAAGAGTTTTAGGGTGCATTTGGATGGAGGGATTTGGGGGAGGGATTTCAAATCCATAATAACAAATCCCTCGGACTTGTTTGGATTGAGGGATTTGGAGATGGATTTCAAATCCCCACCCCTCCTTTTTAGTTGTTTTTGGAGCAATAGTGATGGATTTCAAATGACTTCAAAATTGGAGTCATTTCAAATCCATTCTCCAAATCAAATCCCTCCCCAAATCCCTCCATCCAAATGGACCCTTAGAGCACCTTAAATAATTTATGAAGCACTTTGTACTATCACAATAAAGAGGAGTAAGAGAGAATATTGATACTCCCAAAATCCTTGAGAAACCATCTAAGCCAAACGAACTCGGAAATTGTATCAGCGAGAACACAATATTCTGCTTCAGTGCTAGATCGAGACACAAATGTTTTTTTCTTAGTTCTCCAAGAGATTAAAGATGCGCCGAGATGAAAATAATAACCAATCATGGATCCGCGATCAGTGAGATCTCATGCCCAGTCACCATCGAAGAATGCACAAAGAATCAAAGGTGACTCAGTAGAGTAAAAATGACCCAAATCTAATCCCAACATTATGGGCTACGCCCAAACAATAAGAAAGAAAGATCGGTGAAGGCCCATGAAAGCCCAATTTATAAAACTAGGCCCAAGTGATGGGCTCAATCCCCCTATGAAGCTAATCACAAAAAATAAACACACCCCTTAATCTTCATAATTAAATGTACTTAACGAATTACTCTCTTGATATATTGTTTAATATTTTCTTGTAACTTTTGACTTCAACGACTAATTTGAGTGTGTTAGGTATTTGTCGGGATCAAATTAGTGCCGTAATCATTTTTTTACGACGCAGTAATTCCTACATTAATTTTTCGTAATTAGCCATTCACAAAAAAGTGGTGAACCATGAACGCATCCATAGATAATAGGGGTTTTATAGATGTTAGATACGGTGAAATATATCGAGTAATTATGCACCACCAATCTGCACATAATGATGTAAAAACACCCGATGATATGGGCTAGTTTGACAAATAACAAATAAACATAAGCCCATTAGGGTAAGCCCAA